CAAATATCAATAAATACCTACAAAATATCAATAAATACCTACACAATATCAATAATACCTTCAAAATATCAATAAATACCTACAAAATATCAATAAATACCTACACAATATCAATAAATACACACCAGTATATAATACACACCAGTATATAGTACACACCAGTTTATAGTATACACCAGTGGAAAGTACACACCAGTGTATAGTACACACCAGTATATAATACACACCAGTGTACAGTACACACCTGTATATAGTACACACCAGTATATAGTACACACCAGTATATAGTATACACCAGTGTATAGTACACACCAGTGTATAGTATACACCTGTGTATATTACACACCAGTTTATAGTATACACCAGTATATAGTACACACCAGTGTATAGTACACACCAGTGTATAGTATACACCTGTATATAGTACACACCAGTATATAGTATACACCAGTATATAGTATACACCAGTTTATAGTATACACCAGTGGAAAGTACACACCAGTGTATAGTACACACCAGTATATAATACACACCAGTGTATAGTATACACCTGTATATAGTACACACCTGTATATAGTACACACCAGTATATAGTACACACCAGTATATAGTACACACCAGTATATAGTATACACCTGTATATAGTACACACCAGTATATAGTACACACCAGTATATAGTATACACCAGTATATAGTACACACCAGTATATAGTACACACCAGTATTTAGTACACACCAGTATATAGTATACACCAGTATATAGTACACACCTGTATATAGTACACACCAGTATATAGTACACACCAGTATATAGTATACACCAGTGGAAAGTATGGACCCGAATACTAATAAAAAAATTACCTGTACTTTATTATAGACCTCTATAAATAAATCAAATCCTAGTGCTTCTTCTAGTTCAGCTCTGGCTTGTTCTAATCTCCCATAGACATCATAATCATCATCATCATCAACATCATCATTATCATCATCACCAAACGTCGTTTCATCATCACTATCTCCTGTAATGAAATCAAATTATAAAATAACAAGCATGCAGTTCAGTGACTACATCTTAAGTCCTATACTGAAACCTGCGGAGCAAAGTTCATAGAGGTATACAACTAGCTTTCCTGATGAGGACAGTGTGTTAGAAACTTGTGTCAGTAGTATGAGATGAGCTTTAGTCAAGTCTGATCTTGGAAAGTTAACCTCCATTTGTAAAACTAGCTGTCCTGGTGAGGACAGTGTATCTGGAACATGTGTCAGCAGTATGAAATAAGAGCTAGAGGTACTAAAGAATAAGTCAAGAAGTCTCGTACCTTGAAATAATTCAGACAGTGTATCAGTTCTCAGACTCGGGTGTTTATCTGATAATACTAAATCTGATTGAGAATCATTTAATTTCTCATTCTGACCATTCTTGGTATCAGTTTTATCTTCACTGGGGTCACTCTCTTTCACTGTCTCACTTTGACCAGATGTATCCTTTCCATTCTGGTTATCATTCTCAAATTGACTGGCTCTATCGTTCTTTTCACTCACTTCTGAAACATTAGATAAGAAATCAATAAGTTCAGTTTTAGAGAGTCTTGTTCTTTACAAACTATTCAGTGAAAATAATCTGTGAAATTATTCAATGAAATTATTCAGTGAAATTAATCAGTGAAATTATTCAGTGAAATTATTCTGTGGAACTATTCTGTGAGATTATTCAGTGAAATTAATCAATGAAATTAATCAATGAAATTATTCAGTGAAATTATTCAGTGAAATCAATCAGTGAAATCAATCAGTGAAATTATTCAATGAAATTATTCAGTGAAATTATTCAGTGAAATTATTCAGTGAAATTATTCAGTGAAATCAATCAGTGAAATCAATCAGTGAAATTATTCAATGAAATTATTCAATGAAATTATTCAATGAAATTATTCAATGAAATTATTCAATGAAATAATTCAGATTAAATGGGATGTCTAGTTTATTTATAGCTTAGTCAATGTCATTGTTAGACATTTTCTACCAGTCAATGTCATTGTTAGACATTTTCAACCAGTCAATGTCATTGTTAGACATTTTCAACCAGTCAATGACATTGTTAGACATTTTCAACCAGTCAATGACATTGTTAGACATTTTCAACCAGTCAATGTCATTGTTAGACATTTTCTACCAGTCAATGACATTGTTAGACATTTTCTACCAGTCAATGACATTGTTAGACATTTTCAACCAGTCAATGTCATTGTTAGACATTTTCAACCAGTCAATGACATTGTTAGACATTTTCTACCAGTCAATGTCATTGTTAGACATTTTCAACCAGTCAATGACATTGTTAGACATTTTCAACCAGTCAATGACATTGTTAGACATTTTCAACCAGTCAATGTCATTGTTAGACATTTTCAACCAGTCAATGTCATTGTTAGACATTTTCTACCCTCAATGTCATTGTTAGACATTTTCAACCAGTCAATGTCATTGTTAGACATTTTCTACCAGTCAATGTCATTGTTAGACATTTTCAACCAGTCAATGTCATTGTTAGACATTTTCAACCAGTCAATGTCATTGTTAGACATTTTCAACCAGTCAATATTATTGTTAGACATTTTCAACCAGTCAATGTCATTGTTAGACATTTTCAACCAGTCAATGTCATTGTTAGACATTTTCAACCAGTCAATGTCATTGTTAGACATTTTCAACCAGTCAATGTCATTGTTAGACATTTTCAACCAGTCAATATTATTGTTAGACATTTTCAACCAGTCAATGTCATTGTTAGACATTTTCAACCAGTCAATATTATTGTTAGACATTTTCAACCAGTCAATGTCATTGTTAGACATTTTCAACCAGTCAATGTTATTGTTAGACATTTTCAACCAGTCAATGACATTGTTAGACATTTTCAACCAGTCAATGACATTGTTAGACATCCAGTCAATGACATTGCTAGACATTTTCAACCAGTCAATGACATTGTTAGACATTTTCAACCAGTCAATGTCATTGTTAGACATTTTCTACCAGTCAATGACATTGTTAGACATTTTCTACCAGTCAATGACATTGTTAGACATTTTCAACCAGTCAATGTCATTGTTAGACATTTTCAACCAGTCAATGACATTGTTAGACATTTTCTACCAGTCAATGACATTGTTAGACATTTTCTACCAGTCAATGACATTGTTAGACATTTTCAACCAGTCAATGTCATTGTTAGACATTTTCAACCAGTCAATGACATTGTTAGACATTTTCAACCAGTCAATGTCATTGTTAGACATTTTCAAACAGTCAATGTCATTGTTAGACATTTTCAACCAGTCTCTCAGAGTTAATTTCCCTGAATTTCTTGTTTTTAATTTCTCCAATAACCAACCTTCATCTCCATCAATCAATAAACTTTTCATGGTTTCTCGCACACTGATCATATCATCATCATCATCATCATCTTCATCATCATCATCAATGTTAATGTCTTCTTCATCAAAATCATCATCATTTTGTACTCTAAAAATACCAATGTTGATGGATTATTATTCAGTAAATACTAGATTCAAAAATTTATACATTCTGATAAAATAAAGTATATTAACTACCAGGTTGTATCCAAATTATTGAGATTTTGATTGGTATTTCAATTATAAATTTATCTACAATGTAAAAATATTGACAAGGTAAATAAATCCTACCCCTCCTGATCACCATCCCTGTCCTTGCCGTCACTGTCTGATTTTGGTTGTGAGTTGTCTGATCTTGGTGATAATACTTCCATTTCTAAACTTTGTCTGACCAGCTCTAAATCTTCATCAGCCTAAAAAATTAGCAGAAAATACTTACGTCTTATAAATGACCACCAAGTTTAATAAATCAATTCAACACTTATATCTTAGAAAAATAATCCTGTTTTAGTTGTTTTAGAGGAAAATGAAAAAGTCACATGTGTAGCTTTTCAAAATCCTAAAATATTAACTGATTGGTCAATTACTTTAATTCATCAACCAATCAGCTTACTGTATATCCTAAAGTCTTCATTCTAAAATGAGTTAAGAAACAGTTAGTGAATAATGAGTTGTATTACAGAGATCAAGGATATCATAAGTTTAATTTCAATCTAATGAATATATGAAACCTCTTCCAGATATTCTCATCAACAATGTTTGTCATTGAAATATAGCCAGGATTAATAAATAAACATGTACTAATGATCCGAACTGTAACACGAAACAGAAAATCCAAGACAACATTTTGACAAAACATTGATAGCAGCTAATGAACTTTACATGAGGAAGTATATTAATCATAAGTGAGTATGTTTATCATAATGAAAATGTGGTATCAGGTGTCTAGAGGAGTAAGCAAACCCTGCCTGGAGCTGCTCAACATACACAAAACACACTATTAATAGGAACATGCCAACTATATAATAGCAATTCATCATACCTCCTCTTGAACAGTTTTCAATCTTTCGAGGCTGGAATGTCGAGTTAAGTTTGTCGTGAGGAATATATTATCAGATGTCTGGAACAGTTTACTCAGATCTGGTTCCGAGCATGTTCTTAACATCTGAAATGGAGTTTTGTTCAAGATTAATGATCCAGCAATGAAACTTATAGAATCATGTCTTTGGTTCTAGTAATTCCACAAGGAACAAGTGATATTTTTTATTCCCCAACCCTACAACAAAACATACAAATCATACTTGGAACTTTTGTGATCAAATTATTCTATAAGAGCTGATAGCTTTTTCCATTTTGTTTCAAATTTAGAAATGCTTTGGTTGTTACAGTAGATCACTTTTTTGTCCACAAGAAACATGATTATGAAAATTCCATTCAAATTGTTTTTAATACAAGGGTTTTTCTCAGGGTGTGTTTCTCAATAGGAAGTTTTAATATGCCTGAGAATTTGTCATGGCCCTGGGGTCAGTCTTCAATCAAACCATACTTACCCCAACATTGTTGATATCAAAGTTACCAGTAGACAAACCTTTTGATACCATTTTACCTTCTCTATAACACAAATATTTTACTTATTATTTCAATCAATTAATGTGTAAAAAGATATGAAAATCTTAAAAAGATCAATGCCAAGAGGTGAGGTTTAGGACCTAAAGATTGTCAACCATCACAAGATTGAGCTAAAACATTCCCAAAAACTATCTGACTTACTTTTTAGCATCATCCCAGTTCGGTTTATCATCTTCATCATCATCATCGTTATGGAGATCGACTCTAGAAAACAACTGACCTTCACCTTCATTATTTATAACAACCGGCGCTATGACAGGTTTAACTGTAAAAAAAAAACTCTTACTGAAGAATGCGTGAATCTTTTCAAATTGACCTGACACCGTAACGATCACTAGTTGGGTATGGTGGTGAATAAGAATAGCAGTAATAAGTTTCGAATGTAAACCTCATGTAACTAAGTTGTGAGTGACATTGGAAACTCATGGACTCTTTCATTTTTCGCAATCATACACATTCTTCAATTTGAATGATTATACTGTCAGTGCTTAAGAGTCTGCTACAGTGACATCCCAAGATGAAGAAAATTCCTGTTGGTGTCTCTTAATGTGTCAGTTCCTGTCTTTCAACAAAATAATTTCTAAAAAACCATACAGTTCTTAAAAAAAAAACATCAAATACACTTATAAATAACTTGCGGAAGAAGCATTAAAAGATGGAAAAGCGAATAAGCAGAAAATAGTCCAAAAACTCAAAAATAAAGAAAAGAATGAAATCTAACCAAATTCAACAGAATTCAAATCAGGTTTAGGGAGTAGAACTGGCTTTTTGAACACGAGTTGAGATTCAGAGTTTGGTCTCAAGTCCGCTTTATCTGCTGAGTCATCCGTTAATCTTCTGCTAGGTTTGTCATCTGTTTGATTTGAATTCATTTTTTTAGACTCTGATTGGTCAACAGCACTTTCAATATTTTGAATGTCAGATTTTAATTGGTTAATAGAATTTTCGGAGCCAATTTCTGACTGTTTTGATTGCACAATATCAGATTCTTCTTCAGATTGACTGCTTATTTCCTCTAAATCTTCAATGGCTGCCAGAGCGGCCTTGACCTCTTCAATATTCCTGTCTGCCAGAGATGGTGCAACAGGAAGTGCATCTAAAAGCAGAAAATCGTGACACACACAAGCAACAAACAAAAATCTGGGAAAGAGAAGAGAAGAGGAAAGGCTGAGTTGTTTAACCATCACAAGAAAAAACACAAAATTAACACAAAGAATACAGGTAGGAAAGAAGAATAAAAGTAGGAAAGAAGAGTAAATGTAGGAAAGAAGAATAAATGTAGGAAAGAAGAATTAATGTAGGAAAGAAGAATTAAGGTAGGAAAGAAGAATTAAGGTAGGAAAGAAGAATAAAGGTAGGAAAGAAGAATAAAGGTAGGAAAGAAGAATAAATGTTTTATTTGGCTTAGAGAAGAGATAAAAACATCATTATCCAGAAGGTGAAGAATTAAGCTCGAGATATTCAAATTAATCACAGAAATCGTTTTCGTTTTCTTTATGAGATGTAATGCATCCAAAGTTAAAGCCCAACTCCTAGTTGATTTTCTGTTAAAAGTTATCCACTAATTTGAAGTCAAGAAAGTTAACCTTAATACAACTTCCAGTCCAGTCCACCTACCTTTATTATTGACCGAGTCCTCAGCTGATTTGATAGTTATAGTACCTTCTCGTATCATACTAGGTTTACTGAGTGTTACTGTGGCACCGATTCCACAGACAATATCTACTCTTGGTGCCGGGGACTGACTGCCATCACTTCCACCTTAAATAAATTACAATGATTTGGACAAGTTTCGCGTAGGGTGAAGGACTATCGATTATGGTTGATCCATTTGTTTTGAGTTATCAAGTTCCTTAGCATGTTTGTTTGTGTTTTTGAATGTAGTAATTATATAATTTTTATTATTTTTTACAGTGTGTTTCTCTTTCTCTAAATATATCAATAGACTATATTGTAAATTACCTGATGCTGTATTGGACATTGTGCCCTCAATAATTGGTAAACCTTGAAGAACATTTACCACTGTGGACCCTGGTCGACCCCAGCCTTGTCTATTTGAGTCTTCACCTTTCCAAGAGTCCCCAGAACCTCCTGCCCCACGAACTATACCAATCACCTTCCCATCAGGACTGCGTATAACTTGATCTCCAGCACTGGTAGCTACAAAAACAAGAAATGAGAGTGGGACTATATCAGTACAAGAGTCATGAGTTTTTGTATCAAACTTATCTATATCTGATTGGGTTAGTCTCAGTTTTAGATTTCGAACTGTTTAGAGTTCTAAAACACCATTTATTGTGCCATTCAAACAATGTAATTTCCGTGTCAGCCTCCAAACTATATCACTGTAAACTACTTTTAAAATTCTTTATCTAAGATGAGAACTGAAGATGTTGTTCTAGATTACTACACTTTCTACCAGTCATCTCAAATCAAGACAAAAATTTTAAGATGTAACAAACCTTCCATTTTAGAAGATGTTTCTTCAAGAGTCATATCTGCTAATCCTAGATCTATCTGACCTTCACCCCACTGTGACCTTACTGAACATGGTTCTTCCTCTTTCACAGCTGTGGATGCTGGTACAAATGCTCCATCTTGTGCACCCCATTTAGGACGATTCTGGAAATGAAATAGACATATCCTTGATTTGACTTCAAGCAAGGTCATTTTAATATTATTCGGGTAAAGAAAAAAATAAGGATACTTCCTTGCTATAATTCAGTAAAAATACTTTCTATGACAGAGATATATTGATGTATTGGCATCTCAAACACACAAACCATGTCGTCACTTCGGTATATTAGTATAATACACCCTATTCTGACCCATGTAAAATAATGAATTTATTATTATTAACATTTTTCTTACCCTTTCATTCAATCTTTTTAAAATATTTTCTTTTTGTATTTGTCTTGTTCTGGAAATAAAATGAGAATGTAAGGTTTCATCACACAAACTCAACTTGTCAAAAGTTATATAAAACAACTCCAGTTCTTTAGGACATAAGATTTAGGAGAATTTTTTCATATCAACAATATAATCATTTATATAATAGGACTTTTGACTTTAATATCCTGTTAATAGGAGCATGTTTTGTGTTGAAAAGTCATCACTATCACATCAATATCTCATCTCTATCATTCAGATTTGGGGCTTTTATTTGAGAAATCAGAAATACTAAAATGAATGTAATAGAAATTGTTTAAACAGGCAAAAAATTAATAAAAGGCAGCAATTAAATTACTGAAAATTAAAAATAGAAATAACAAAACCATCTTACTTGTCATCCACACTAGGACTAGGTGAAACTGGTTTAGGAGTAGGGAGTTCCTCAGCTGCCCCTATAGCTTGTAATATACCAGTTATAGGCACAGCTGGGGCAGGTTTCATATTCACAGCAGGGGTTGCAGGTTTCTTGGCTGAAGTAGGTCTGAAACACGATTTACTTCAAACATTACAGAAAAGAAGGAATCAACAATTTGAGACAAAGTTGATAATACTGATGAAACTGTAACTGTCTAAGATGAATGGTAATGAATGCTGGTACAAGTGTCACTAGCTAGGCAGGACGTGCTCATTATTCAGAACACCTGAAGTCACCCCTTTGAGAAAGACCATGAGACTGGTATTGTATTGTTGGCATATTTCCAACTTTTTAGCCAGTACAAACATTGAGGTTAATTTTTCATTATATGGTCTTGAGATGTACAAGAAAAGTCCTATGTCCGAAAATTTAAATCATCCAAAATAAGCCAACAAGTTTACCTGCTTTGAGCTCCTCCTCTACTGGGCGGTCTGCTCTTGGCCTGAAAATATATCGTACACATGAATTGCAGAACTCATATTGATGTCATGTTTTAATGTTATTTGCCAAAATCCGATTTTAGTGTCTAGCAAAGTCAAAAGTTTTCTATATACAAAAAACACCCCATCCATCTTGTCTCTAAGACATGTTAATATATGTTGAATTATTATAAATTTCTTTCAAAGTCGATATAAAATCTATGATGTTTAGCTTTCTTGACAACTACAACCAAGACAGATGGAAATGTACAGTTTTTAACAATTTAGTGAATTAAAAGCATGGAATTAATATTAAACTACAGAATGAAATTAATAGCATTAGGTATAAAGACATAGGTTTGGAGCAAGGTTAGTAGGTTGGGATCCAGGTTAGTAAGTTGGGAGCTAGGTTAGTAAGTTGGGAGCTAGGTTGGTAGGTTTGGAGCTAGGTTAGTAGGCTGGGATCCAGGTTAGTAAGTTGGGAGCAAAGTTAGTAGGTTGGGAGCTAGGTTTGTAGGTTGGGTGCTAGATTAGTAGGTTGGGAGCTAGGTTGGTAGGTTGGGTGCTAGGTTAGTAGGTTTGGAGCTAGGTTAGTAAGTTGGGTGCTAGGTTAGTAGGTTGGGAGCTAGGTTGGTAGGTTGGGTGCTAGGTTGGTAGGTTGGGTGCTAGGTTAGTAGGCTGGGAGCTAGGTTGATAGGCTGGGAGCTAGGTTAGTAGGTTGGGAGCTAGGTAAGTTGTGAGCTATGTTAGGAGCTAGGTTGGTAGGTTGGGTGCTAGGTTAGTAGGTTGGGAGCTAGGTTAGTAAGTTGGGTGCTAGGTAAGTAGGTTGGGAGCTAGGTTGGTAGGTTGAGTGCTAGGTTAGTAGGTTGGGTGCTAGGTTAGTAGGCTGGGAGCTAGGTTGATAGGTTGGGAGCTAGGTTAGTAGGTTGGGAGCTAGGTTAGTAAGTTGGGAGCTAGGTTAGTAGGTTGGGAGCTAGGTTGGTAGATTGGGTGCTAGGTTAGTAGGTTGGGAGCTACGTTAGTAGGTTGGGTGCTAGGTTAGTAGGTTGGGAGCTAGGTTGGCAGGTTGGGTGCTAGGTTGGTAGGTTGGGTGCTAGGTTAGGCTGAGAGCTAGGTTGATAGGTTGGGAGCTAGGTTAGTAGGTTGGGAGCTAGGTTAGTAAGTTGGGAGCTAGGTTGGTAGGTTGGGAGCTAGGTTAGTAAGTTGGGTGCTAGGTTAGTAGGTTGGGAGCTAGGTTGGTAGGTTGGGTGCTAGGTTAGTAGGTAGGAAGCTAGGATAGTAAGTTGGGTGCTAGGTTAGTAGGTTGGGAGCTAGGTTGGTAGGTTGGGTGCTTGGTTGGTAGGTTGGGTGCTAGGTTGGTAGGTTGGGTGCTAGGTTAGTAGGTTGGGTGCTAGGTTGGTAGGTTGGGAGCTAGGTTGGTAGATTGGGAGCTAGGTTAGTAAGTTGGGTGCTAGGTTAGTAAATTGGGAGCTAGGTTGGTAGGTTGGGTGCTATGTTGGTAGGTTGGGTGGTAGGTTGGGTGGTTAGGTTGGGTGGTTAGGTTGTAGGTTAGGTGGTAGGTTGGGTGCTAGGTTGATGTCTCAAGTGGTAGTATAGAGTAATGATAAATAAAACAAGTACTAATGATCCACACTGCAAAACGAATCGGGAAATCCAAACAACATTTTGGCGAAACATTAGTAACAGTCATTGAAATTTTCATAATGGTATCAGGTGTCTAGAAGAGTAAGTATATCATAATGAAAAGTGGTATCAGGTGTCTAGAAGAGTAAGTATATCATAATGAAAAGTGGTATCAGGTTTCTAGAAGAGTAAGTATATCATAATGAAGAGTGGTATCAGGTTTCTAGAAGAGTAAGTATATCATAATGAAGAGTGGTATCAGGTTTCTAGAAGAGTAAGTATATCATAATGAAAAGTGGTATCAGGTGTCTAGAAGAGTAAGTATATCATAATGAAGAGTGGTATCAGGTGTCTAGAAGAGTAAGTATTTCATAATGAAAAGTGGTATCAGGTTTCTAGAAGAGTAAGTATATCATAATGAAGAGTGGTATCAGGTGTCTAGAAGAGTAAGCATACTCCAACATATTAGACAATAAGAACGTGACAACATAACAAGAAAATAAGAGTATACAGAATCAAAATGTAATATAGAATAAAGCATACATAATTGTTTGGTTATGTTTGCAGCTCTGGGACCTTTTTCTCAAAAAATAACTCAGATAAAATCCAGATTTTAGTAATTGACCCATCAGATCACTGAAGCACTAAAAACTTCATTAGTAACATTTTCGAGACTAAGGCCCCAATTCATGAAAGTATATTTTGTGATAGAGAACAATCATGTTTAGTGAAAAAAATCAAACTACCTGATCCTCTAAACCTCGTCTAAGTGCAACTAAATTTCGATTTTTCTCATCATCATATTTCGCTGCCCAATCATTCGCCTGTTTCTGACAAACATAAAATTTAGGACCAGTGAACATTATAAAAGATATACATTCAATAATTGATATATTGGAGTTAATACAAGCAAGCATCTACAGTGAGTCATTCAATATCATGCTAAACTTATAAAATGATAAAAACCCTTCTTCTTACTTTTAAAGCTTCTAGTTTTTTCTTTCTTTCTTCATCTTGTGGGGGCTGAACAAAAATGAAATTGAAACAGAAAAATAAAAAAACACAAAGAATAACAAAGAAAAGATATTATAATAAGAGAAAAGTCTAAAGAAAAAACCAAACTGATGTAACATTAAAACACAGTGATGCAATATCTAATATAGAGAAAACCAGTTCATGAATTCCCATTAGATATAAGTTTATAACGTACTGCTAGCTAATTCTACTCATTTCAGAACAAAACTTCATATAAATCTAATTTTCAATTTTACCAAAACAATCAAACAAACATCAATATAAAGAATATAACCTGAATCAGAGTTTTATAAAAAAAAAACTAAACTAAAACTAAAACCTTAAAGAAGAAGAAGAAGAAATAAAAAAAGATTTGACTTGAGTCCCAGAAGAAACAAAATATAATACCCACCTTATATTTGTTGAGATCAGGAGTACCAGCATCTTTCCTAGCTTGTAATGCTTTTCTCTCTTTCATATTCTGTTCTCGTATTTTACGTAACTGGGCTAAATAGTCCTGTAACAGAACACAACAATATAAATAGTCCTGTAACAGAACACAATATAATTAGTCCTGTAACAGGTCACAACAATATAAATAGTCCTGTAACAAAACACAACAATATAATTAGTCCTGTAACAGAACAAAACAATATAATTAGTCCTGTAACAGGTCACAATAATATAAATAGTCCTGTAACAGAACACAATATAATTAGTCCTGTAACAGGTCACAACAATATAAATAGTCCTGTAACAGAACACAACAATATAAATAGTCCTGTAACAAAACACAACAATATAATTAGTCCTGTAACAGAACAAAACAATATAAATAGCCCTGTAACAGAACACAACAATATAAATAGTTCTGTAACAGAACACAACAATATAAATAGTCCTGTAACAGAACAATAAAATAAATAGTCCTGTAACAGAACAAAACAATATAAATAGTCCTGTAACAGAACACAACAATATAAATAGTCCTGTAACAGAACACAACAATATAAATAGTCCTGTAACAGAACACAACAATATAAATAGTTCCTGTAACAGAACAAAACAATATAAATAGTTCTGTAACAGAACACAATAAAATAAATAGTCCTGTAACAGAACAAAATACTATATAGTCCTGTAACAGAACACAACAATAAAATAAAGTCCTGTAACAGAACACAACAATGTATAGTCCTGTAACAGAACACAACAATATAAATAGTTCTGTAACAGAACAAAACAATATAAATAGTTCTGTAACAGAACACAATGAAATAAAGTCCTGTAACAGAACACAACAATATATAGTCCTGTAACAGAACACAACAATATAAATAGTCCTGTAACAGAACACAATAATATAAATAGTCCTGTAACAGAACACAACAATATAAATAGTTCTGTAACAGAACAAAACAATATAAATAGTTCTGTAACAGAACACAATAAAATAAATAGTCCTGTAACAGAACAAAATACTATATAGTCCTGTAACAGAACACAACAATATAAATAGTCCTGTAACAGAACACAATAATATAAATAACCCTGTAACAGAACACAACAATATAAATAGTCCTGTAACAGAACACAACAATATAAATAGTCCTGTAACAAAACACAACAATATAAATAGTCCTGTAACAGAACACAATAATATAAATAGTCCTGTAACAGAACACAACAATATAAATAGTCCTGTAACAGGACACAACAATATAAATAGTCCTGTAACAGAACAAAACAATATAAATAGTTCTGTAACATAACACAACAATATAAATAGTTCTGTAACAGAATCTGAGGGTAAGAAGAATAACACGTCGAAACTTTTACCAGTGATTGTTGTTCCATAAAACTGTGTCTATATCATTGCCTTTTATGTACTTTGGATCATTATACTTAGTTCAGCTTTTAAATTCGCTAAATATATATACACTGTACAAACCTGTTCTTCTCTGTTTCTGGATTGAGCTGCAGCTCCTGGTGGTGGTCCTGGATTCTCTAAAATAGATAAAATACTGTTCAGAAAGAACAAGCGAAGACAGGAATAAAATTAATGTATATTATACAGGAATAAAAGACAGAATTATTAAGAAATAGTGTTATGGATATTGCTGCACGTCAATACATGTTAAGGTTGATATAGAAACCTACTTTGTGGTCCAAAATCATTTGTGGAACTATGATATTAGATTTTAACAGCGATAAACATCACTCTAAACTTTCAGAAAGTGATATATTAGAAATATGGAAATAATAATTATCAGACTTACTAGGTGTGACTGCCCTGTAACCACCAGATGGTGGACGATTCTAAAATAAAAAAATTAAATCAATGTTGGTAGGGTTGGGGTTAACTTGTTTCAATTGAATAGGGAAGAAATTCAAATCACCCATTACAATACATATATAAATCTATAAATATACCTACACCAAATAACTGGGCTTGAGCTCTTGCTTTATTCCTAGCGGCTTCTTCTTTTCTGTTTAAAAACTCTTGGGCCATTCTAGTTCGTTCATTTGCATCCCGTCTAAAAATGATACATATTAATACAAAGGTGAGAAAATCTAATAAAGAAAGCCATATTTTGTTTGTCCAATCTCTCATACAGAGTTGTCGGTCCTTGGATTCCTTTTTAATCCTGGTTAATAAGAACAAAGAAGAAAGGCGCTGCAAGGGCCAACAACTCTGAATACAAGACAGTTAATTGTCTTGTAGAATTTTGTTTTAATCTTTATGCTAATCTATATTTTACACAAGTTTCAAGAATCTTCTGGTGTAAAACAATTACTTATAAAAACTGCCAGAATCCATTTTTTATGTCTACACTAGTAAAAACTACAGCTTAGCCTACAATGCAACATTATCCAGATTTCACTTGATGGCAATTCCAACTCAGATATAAAATGTTGAAAATATCATCAGAAGTCCAAGCAGATTCGTATCAAACTATTATTGTTTTAGACTATAACCACTGGTAAACTTTAATCAACAAGAACTGTTTTAACCATTAGACATGGACGGTATTATGGATGCCCTACCTTTCCGGGTCCATCTGCGGTCCTCTATTAATCTGGAACTGGTCTCTACCTAGTCTTGGTCCTGCCACAGGATTTGGGCCAGCCTGCATGTATGGTACAGCTGGGGATAAAAAACATAACAGTTAAATCATATCTTACTGTTTCTGGTATTTTGGCTGATTTGTTTGGTCAAGCATGAAGTGATCTGGTTGTATCTCATGATTTTGACCATTATAGTAGTGGAGGGTGTCGAGCGAAGCAGATCCTGTTTACTCTTTTCGAAACACCTGATGGTACTTCTCTTTAGAGGAGTCCACTACTATACAATTGTTACTCTCAATTTTACCATACTTTGAACGAGATTTTTATTAACGGAATTGTCTTGCTTGTATGTATTTTTTATTCAAAATATTTTAACAAAGTTTACCTGCTGGTCTTGGAATAGGTACCGGGCCACCATCTCTAATTCTGTTGATGCGATCTTGTTGAAGTTTATCAAGATAGGCATTATACTGATCATATCTTCCCCTCCCTTCCACAACCGGCACTCGATTCTCTTGTTGCTGTAAGGTTTATAGAAATCTTTCATTTAAAAAATTACAACATCGCCAACAATTAAACTCTGTGTCACCCAGTGGAGGAGCCAAAGGGGGTACAGGGGGAACAGAGGGGTCAGCCGCCCCCCCTCGCAGCCCCCTCTCGGACATCAACCAGGCTCCACCACTGCTGTCACCAGGCGGAAAATTGCGATACTCTCATGTTATAAGCAAAGGCAGGTCAAGCAGCAGGTCACCAATCTTTATTAACAGTCCCTTTTTAGAGCAAACATTTTGTATTCATTCAATTGCTAATCTTATATATAAAATACCTTCAAATTGTGTACAATTTTTATTAATTAATAATTTGTATACATACGTTACTTATTCTGTTCTATTTTTCACAATAATTAATTATATATATCATCTTGTATTTTAGTTTTGACATTATAATTATCTAATTAAGTCAAAAAGTTTCTTTAAAGTTTCTTTGAATTCTTTTCATTTTCCGAGCACTTGAAACAACTACGTTATTTATTTCCATCAATTACCCAGGTTTATATAGATGATTGTATTTTCTTGTTTTTAAGACAATACTGTTTACCTTTAAAGAAAACTAGGGTCATAAAGAAAATACCTTACCTTAGGTATAATCATTTGAGGTTTTTGTAGAACTGGTTCTGGATCATTTTGTTTAACTAAACCAGGTTCTAATATATTCCTCCACCCTAATTCACGACTTCGATTAATCTGGGCCACCTGGAAATTAAACATAATATCATCTATAACATAGTTTATAAGTTCAAATTACAACATTAATATTTCTATTTATTTAATATATTTACTCAAATCATTTAAACAAGTTAATTCTGGTTCAAATGTCTTAAAACTACATTTATCATTTCTGTCTTACTTCAGTTCTGTGGACTCAAAGATACCAAAATGCCATCACAGTTTCAAAAAAATATCAGTTGATCTTTGGCCAAAACACAATATGTATCAAATGTAAGTCAACTATTGGTATAAGCTTACATAGAGTTTTTTTTAGGACGTTTATTGGAAGTTACAGATATGTGAGAGAAAATGTGCAGGCAACCAAAAGATCAAAAATAAAAAGACATGAAAGCCAAAACCAAAACCAGTTAAAAAGTAGATGTGAAATTACAGTTTTATACACATTCATTTTTTATTTCCCTGTGGATGATTCTCTTTGAGCAAATGAAAAAGATCACATCTTAGTCATTTAGAAAATTGATAGTGTTTGCTGGGAATATATTGGGTGTCTCAAAAAATAACGTCCCAAAGTTGGACAGATAGTATCTCAGCTGTTGCAGTTGCGATTGGTGGTCGAAGAAGATGGAGGATGGCACATTGAACACAGGATAAAATAGGTAAGTTGCCTTGATATTGTATTTTTTGACATGTTATTTTGTTCGGGTCAGTACTTGTACAATTTTTATTTGATGAATTTCATATTTTCAGCGTTGGACAACAACATCTTGGAGTATATCTGTGGGAATTTTGTAAGAGGTCGGTTTACCAACAGCTAAGATATTACCCGTCCAACCAACAGCTAAGATATTACCCGTCCAACCAACAGCTAAGATATTACCCGTCCAACCAACACCTAAGATATTACCCGTCCAACCAACAGCTAAAATATTACCCGTCCAACATTGGGATGGTTTTTATTGGACACCCGATATATATATATATTAGTAGTGTGCAACATCGAAATTTCCTACATAGTGTTATCAACATACATACTAAACTATTTTACCTTTTGTTTATTTTTTAATTCTTTATATTGTTTAGCAAAAAGATCTTGTTCCTAACATTCAAAAAGAAAAACAATAGGTGAAAAGGTGAAAAACTCAAAAAAGCAGGGTGTTATAGAATTACAGCTGACAAAAACTATAAAAATATCTTTTAATATTAAAATATTTAGGATTGTTAGTTTAAGATATATAGAGTCTAACATTCTTAAAAAAAAAATTCAGATATTCTACATATTTTCAGCCAGGATTTGTCAAAAATAACAAAAAATAAGACATTTTTCAAAACTTTTTCTTGAGACCCATGACTTGACCAAATATCATCAATTTTCAGTCAGACATGACAGGCAAGTAAATTAAATCAACAATCCTGTTCAACTAAATGATTTATACAATTTCTAATCTGACAAACTAATCAGTCTTTAGAGTAAAGAAGTTTATCAAAACTCCTATGAAAAGCACTGGCCAAGATCACAAAAAAAAATAGTCTGTATTTTAGTGGAGAGCACAGCAAACTAAGACTAGTAAACATTGTAAGATATTAAGATAAGATAAAAACATACATAGAAATGTTCACTCACTTTCTGTTTCTCGCCGTCACGTCTTTGTCTTTCTTTTTCTTTTAATTCCAATCTTTTCTTATCCCAATCCTGTATTGATACATAAAATACATAAAATACATAAAATACATAAAATACATAAAATACATAAAATACATAAAATACATAAAATACATAAAATACATAAAATAATCACATCTTAATCATAATAAGAGAAGAATTAATATCTAGAGATTACTATTAAATATATTTTCACTGTTAGGATGTAGCTTAAAAATGTAAATCTAACAAAAGACCGTATTTATTAAATACAAAATAGTTTCTTGTCAGCAGTCTGAATGCAGACTAAGAGATTATTTATATTACAAGCTGAGCTGTGGAGTAGAGTGGTTAGTAGTGGTATTAATGTCTAACGCTCAGCTGTTTACACAGACCCAGACCCAGACCCAGACCCAGACCCAGACCCAGATCCAGAACCAGAACCAGAACCAGAACCATCATCCATAGCACATGATTTATTTAGGTTGCCTGCTTTGTCTGTAGTGTGAACGAGCCCTTACTCACTTTAAAGACAATTTGAAATAATTCAGACTAAAAGTCTGGGCTCTATTTCTCAAAAAATCGTACGACTCCCGACTTAAGACTTAAGTTACGATTGTCTTAAGATTACGATTACTAGTGTTTTTCAAAGGCTAACTTAATTGTTGTAAGTAAAATTTATCGTACAATCAAGATGTTAAACTAAGCATGCGCAATACCGACTTAGTAACAGATGACAAAATGTCAAGGCGAGGCGTGAAGAAAATCGAATTGTACAAAAAATCAAGTAGATCAGACTTCTAAAATATATCTCTGGTAAAAGGGAAATCTTCATCCTCATTAACAAAAGACAATAAAGCTAAATTTTAGAATAAAGCTATAGAAAGTAGTCGGTAGGCGTATCTTGGCAAGACCGTTTTCGAAGGGAAGATTTTTACGTGCGAGGCGAAATTGTTCATTGCACTTCAAAGTGTTCGGAAATTTTGATTTCCACAATGATGACGTCATCGCTGTTTTGACATCATTGCCGAAGCGAAAAAAAAAGGCAGCTTTCAATTGAGACAAAGGGGAAAAATCGAGAAGGTGGTCGTTCTTGCTTAGTCAAAGACACTTAGGGATCAAATCTGATGTTGAATTATCCTTTTTTCCCATTAATTATTTATTAGGTTCTACCACCTGGTAGTTACCACAGCTTTGATCACTAGTAAGTTTACACCAGAATTAGTCGTAATTTTAATTTTATAATTTTTTTTAAAATGCTATTTACGATCAAAACAACACTACAATTGATTGTAAGATTTTTTGAGAAACAGGGCCCAGATATCTATGTCATGGTAAACCAATGAATGGAATAAATAACTTACGGCCTGTCCCGGAATAATTCTACCTCCACTATTATTCTTCTTCTTTAAATCAGGTCTAAAATATATTTCATAAAAGAAAATGTTTTCAAATAAATAACTCAGTAAAAAGGGGATCAATACGGACGAAAACCTTTTTAAATATCATGTGATCAAATAAGAATCAAAGGCTTACCTGTCACGAGATTTTTTTACTAATGGTGCCCCATAAATAGAAGCAGGATCATATTTAGGTTTATTTACAGATTTCTTGGCAGCTGAAAATATGTTTGAATAATGAACAGATAATAATAGCATATATAAGATTTACATATATACTCATAATCTTTTCTTTCAGTTAAGTTTTTCTGTTTTTTTTTGGAACTACAGGCATCAGATCAAAATATCAAAATATCTGAACATCTGATGATGCAGATTCAAGCTATTAGGGTCCCAAACTCTAATTGTGTATCCTAAATACATGTAGCCAAAATACAAAAGCCTAGAAAGATAACTCTTTAACTCTAATGTTGAATCTAAGGTTAAATAAACGGTGACAGAATATAATATAAAAATTATATTGTATCCTTCATTAAATACTATCAAAATCTCTCACCTGAACCTGGTCTGTTACTAGCAGCAGATGTTGGACGGGAACTAGCAGACGCTGGTCTGGGAGGGGGAGGTAATGCTCGCGATATTTTCTTTCCGTGCATGATGGTATGACTGAACTCTTCAGCAAATTTCTAAAAACAATTCAAAAACTCTATTCAACATTGTGATTTACAAATTTTCAAAATAACAAAAAACAAAATGTAAAAATTGCTCTGTTCATTAATTGCCAGCTTAAAAATGTACATCATGAATATTCATTTCCTCATTTGAAGTTCACCTGCTACAATGAAACATGGTAGAATTGTCTGAACAAATAATGAGAACTACTGCAGGCCATAAACAAACATTTTTCTGGTATTTAAGAAAAAAAACAGATTATTTCTGTGTAATGTGAAGAATATTTCTGTAAAATGTGAAGAATATTTCTGTAAAATGTGAAGATTATTTCTGTAAAATGTGAAGAATTTTTCTGTAAAATGTGAAGATTATTTCTGTAAAATGTGAAGAATTTTTCTGTAAAATGTGAAGATTATTTCTGTAAAATGTGAAGATTATTTCTGTAAAATGTGAAGATTATTTCTGTAAAATGTGAAGAATTTTTCTGTAAAATGTGAAGATTATTTCTGTAAAATGTGAAAAAATTTTCAATGTGAAGAGAACATGGACTCACCTCGTCTGATAAAACATTCCGAACTTTTTGCATCATGATATTTTTACGTAGTAAAGCATTAATAGATGGACGGTCCCTGAAATGGAGAATGTAAAAAAAAATCATAAACATTAAGTCAGTTGTCTGAAGAACGCACAGAGCTAACTCTGAATAACAACAAACTTTAGATTTTATTTTAATATTTCAAAACAAAATCCAAGCTAATATAATATCATTTCTTATTTCAAACAGAGATCAAAAAAAGTCAGGCATAGTGAAAAAGTGAAGCCAAAGTTAATTCAGCAAGTCAAGGTCAAGTTCATACAAATACAAATACATTACTTGATATAGGGCCATTTTGGATATTACACCATCAAAGGCGCTTTACAATAAAAATCACATTCATCTACATATAAATAAATAATACAGCGCCATCTGAAGCCTACTAATAAATTAATCAAGTACTAACGATCCAAACAGCAAGACAAAACCCAAAATCCAAAACAACATTTTGACTAAACATTGGTAACAGCTAATGAACATTTCACATGAGGAAGTATATCAATCATAAGTGAGTAAGTATTTCAAAATGAAAAGTGGTATCAGGTGTCTAGAAGAGTAAGCATACCCTGCCTGGAGCTGCTCAACATACACAAAACACACTATTAATAGGAACACACAAACTGAAGAAATACTGACTTGACGACAAATTTAGAAAGCAACCGTCCTGTCCTGCTATTTCAACATTCTGAACTGACTGTTTGAATCAAGAGGCCATATTGTAAGTGTATTTTTATAAATCGACGTAAAAAAAACCCCTACCTTGGTGATCGTTTAAACAACTGAGCTATAACCCCACGTAAATCATAACTATATTTAGGTGGAATAGGTGGATATACTCCTCTAAAATTACAAAAATAAACAATTGTTAAAAAATCTTACATTCTCTTGGATTTAGATTGGAACTTTCTACCATTTCAGAGAGTTCACATATCATTGGATATATATTAACATCAGTCTTCTTATAAAAGATCCCCTTTCATTAACTCTCTGAAGCAATTGCTTGCAATAATTTGTTTATCTTGTAAATCTCTCCAGAAGTAGGTAATTTCTTATTAAATTGGTGTATCCTAATGCTGAAATCCATAGTCACTACTTGTGACCTAGGCCAGTGATTCTAAAGATGATGGATGATTCTTAAACCTTTATGTAATATAAAAACCTTCACTTAGTTTGTCTTGTAACCAAACTTACCTGATAATCTTTAAAACTAAATTCTTCATATTCCCAGCTTCAAACTAAAAAATCAAATTTAACTGGAATCAACACAAATATCAGCCTCTCTTTACGGTTGAAATGATCTGATTGTCTATTTTTTGATCATGTGATTTGTAAATAAATTTGAATTCTGGGAAGAAAATAGAAAAAAATGATAATCTACACTTACTGCATGTTTTAATGTGGTCATTTCATATAAAACACAACCTAAAGACCAGACATCACTGAAAATAGAATTATAATATATTCAGAAACTTGAATTCCAAAACACCATATCTGTTTTTAATCAGATTCCCTTCGCTCGTATTCTCTCCAAAACAGCTGCAGAATTTTGTAAACCTCCATTTCATTTGTAATTGTATGTTCTGGTAATATTCAAAGACTAACATAAGAATTTATCTGAAATAATCTGAAAACTACAACTGACATCACCCTTGGACAAGTTGGACATGATAGTTTATATCAATGGTGGCTCACTGCTATCTTATTACAATCTACTAGCTACACGTAGTAGTACACAATTGAATCATAATATTCAGACCAATGGTGGCTCACTGCTACTTAGTCCAGCATGATAGTTGATGAGAGGTGATCATTGTTATATCTTATATAAAGTTTCAATCCTACCTTTTATTATTATATGGTTTATTTTCCACGAGTTCAGGTGAGAGATAGTATGGTGTTCCAATACACGTTCTAGCCAGCTCCATTGTACTGTGAAATAAAATAAAAATATTATTAGACAGTTCACTCTATTATTATAAATATTATACATTTCACTCTATTATTATCAATATTATACAGTTCACTCTATTATTATAAATATTATACATTTCACTCTATTATTATAAATATTATACAGTTCACTCTATTATCATCAATATTATACAGTTCACTCTATTATTATCAATATTATACAGTTCACTCTATTATCATAAATATTATACAGTTCACTCTATTATTATAAATATCATACTGTTCACTCTATTATTATCAATATTACACAGTTCACTCTATTAATATCAATATTATACAGTTCACTCTATTATTATAAATATTATACAGTTCACTCTATTATTATCAATATTAAACAGTTCACTCTATTATTATAAATATTTTTACACAGTTCACTCTATTATTATCAATATTACACAGTTCACTCTATTATTATCAATATTACACAGTTCACTCTATTATCATCAATATTATACAGTTCACTCTATTATTATAAATATTACACAGTTCACTCTATTATTATAAATATTACACAGCTCACTCTATTATTATAAATATTACACAGTTCACTCTATTATTATAAATATTATACAGTTCACTCTATTATTATAAATATTATACAGTTCACTCTATTATTATCAATATTACACAGTTCACTCTATTATTATCAATATTACACAGTTCACTCTATTATTATCAATATTACACAGTTCACTCTATTATTATAAATATTATACAGTTCAATCTATTATTATAAATATTATACAGTTCACTCTATTATTATCAATATTATACAGTTCACTCTATTATTATAAATATTATACAGTTCACTCTATCATTATAAATATTACACAGTTCACTCTATTATTATAAATATTACACAGTCCACTCTATTATTATAAATATTACACAGTTCACTCTATTATTATCGATATTACACAGTTTACTCTATTATTATCAATATCATACAGTTCACTCTATTATTATAAATATTATACAGTTCACTCTATTATTATCGATATTACACAGTTTACTCTATTATTATCAATATTACACAGTTCACTCTATTATTATAAATATTATACAGTTCAATCTATTATTATAAATATTATACAGTTCACTCTATTATTATAAATATTACACAGTTCACTCTATTATTATCAATATTATACAGTTCACTCTATTATTATAAATATTACACAGTTCACTCTATTATTATAAATATTACACAGTTCACTCTATTATTATAAATATTACACAGTTCACTCAATTATA